ATATCTATATGGTCCACTTTACATGATTTATATCTATTTTGAAGCAATGTGTTTGAGGATTCAGAATAATTTCCCTAAGTGGGTTTCAATATTTGCATAAAGTCTTTATTTGAGCATTTTACCTTCAATGGGATGTAGAAATTAAAGTTGGCTCTTATAAGCAGGGTTAGAAAAGATATTAAAGGTAGAACTAATTTGGAAATGGAAATTAAATTTTATTTTTCTAAATGACTTTCTTATTTATTCTATAAGGTAATATGTAATTTTTAGGTATTTTAAATGCTTTTTCATAATTATCTCATTAGTTGGTGGTAATGTCATGTTATTATCCTGAGCAGTTGTAGAAAATTTTTCTGTTTTATGAGTAGAATTTGCCCCTCTTCTAAATTTTTTTCAAAAAATACAGTTATGACTGACATAAACCTGTGATTAATTAGGTTTAGTCTATTTTGGAAATAATTATTTGTATTTCTAAGAGTAAACTTGAATGATGCTGGGCCTAGACTATATGTTGAAAAACATTATCCTTAATGTATGTAGGTGTGTTCAGGGTTTGTAGTGTGTGAGAGAAAGAGAGATGGTAAGAATAAATTCTCACCCATAAAAGTCAAGAATATCATCTAGAGAAAGTGTATGGGCAAAAAAGCAAAGAAAGCCAGAGACAGAACTGTGGAGTTTTCGAGGATTGATGGGTCTAGTGGAGAAGAGAAACCAGCAAAGAACACAGAGAGGGAGCTTCCAGTGAGCATGAGGTAGCAGAAACCAGCCTAAATATGAAAGATTTCAAAGAGAGTATAATTAACTGTGTTGGTTGTTGCTGAGAGGCTTTCAAGTCAGCCGAAGACAGAGATTTAGCCTTAGCAGAGTACTGGTCATTAATAACCTGATTTGAGTGAGTTGTAGAATAAATGAGAGGTGAGAAAAGTAGAGACAATGAATACAGCAACTCTTTTGAGTACCTTTTGTTGTAAGTAGAAATGTAAAGGTAGCTATAGAAAGATGTGGGGCCAAGGGAGGGATTATTGTGAGATGTGTGATAATGAGGCACATTCATACCTCAGTAAAAGTCATCCTCATTTGATTCTGCACTTGATCCAGAGACTATGCTAAACCTCCTAAAAAGTTTCATCTTTAATTTCTATGATATAACACTTAGCAATTTTCTTCCTACCTCCACTGTTTCCTCCATCTCAGTCTCTTCTGCTGGGTCATCCTTCTCTACCAAAAAGGACTGCTGTGTATAGCTATGCAGATTGTGAACTGCAAGAACTTTGTTGTTGTTGTGGTGGTGGTTGATTGGCTCAAACTGCTGACCTCTGGGTTAGCAGCCAGGTGCTTAATCGTTGCATCACCAGAGCTCCTTGTGCGAACTTTAGAGGACACATTCATAACAGTTATCATGTGGATGTATCCCCAGAGTCATGCCACTGAAATGCTGCAAATTCTATGTGGTGACCCTGAATAACTTTGGATAACTTTTGAATGACTTTAGGAGTTATTCTTGTGAAAGTTTAGAACATGGAGAGGTGAAGCAGTGTTTAGTGAGGATATATGATGACACTTCTGGTAGAGACAAGGTGATGTTTGGAAGGAGCTTAAGGCTGAGACTTTACAAGGAATTCTATAGGGAAAATAATGGGCCAGTAGTAGGAGCTCTGGTGGCGTAGTGCCTAAGGCATTTGACTGCTAACCAGAAGGCTGGCAGGTTCAAACCCACCAGCAACTCCTCAGAAGGAAGGTTGGGCAGTCTACTTCCGTAGTGATACTGTCTGGGAAACCCAAGGAGGAGTTGCTATGAGTCGAAATTGACTCGAAGCCATATTACAACAACAACAACAGTTTACTAAGTTGTAGAAAGTGAGAAATAATATGGGACATATTTCATTTTCTTTCTGGAAAGCAGAGAAGAAGGCGAAATATGCCCTTACCTCTCCTTTGCCAACAGCAAAATGACTGAAGAAAGTTAACACTACCAAGAAGATTATTTCAAACATATTCATTATTTATCATAAACTTTTTAAATAAATATTGGGGGTGGGCAATCTCCACAGCCAGCATTTTATTTTAGTTTATGGTAGAGCTGTTAGCATAGCCATTAATAGCCTCTTTTTTCTAGGAAGTAAAAACTGAGGTATAGATGGTAAACTTCTACATTGAGAATCAATTGGCAAGGTGGGGAAAAAGCATTAATCCACCTGCCTATTCCAAACACAAAATGCAATAGTAAAAATCTATATACACACTAAGGAGATAAAGAAAAGCTTTCTGTTTAACTAAATTAACTAAAGAAAATAGTTGAAAAATAGAATTAATTTTCTGTGTAATAGCCAAAAACTGGAAACAACCCAAATATCTGTCAACAGGTGAATGGATATGCAATTTTCATATACCTATACAATGGAATAGTATTCACCAAAAGAACGCGGAGGAAAGAAAGGAATGAGCTATTGATACACATCACAACATGGATTGATCTCAAAATAACTACACTAAGTGAAATAAGCCAGACAAAGAGTATGTTTCCATTTATATAAATTTCTAGAAACTATATTTTGTGATGACAGACAGTAGATCACTGATAGATCAAAGTAGGAGGAGACGGGTGGAAGGAAGAGATTACTAAGCTGCACGGGGAAACCTTTCAAGTTATAGATATGTTCATTATCCTGATTGTAGTTATGGCTTCATAGTTTCATTTGACTTATGTTTATATAAGTCGAAACTTATGAAATTGTGCACATTATATACATGCAGGGTACTGTGTGTCGATCAGGAGTTCTGGTGGTGTTGGGTTAAGGCATTTGCCTGCTAACAGAAAGGTCGGTGGTTGCAACCCACCAGCCACTTTGCAGAGGAAAGATGGGGCAGTCTGCTTCCATAAAGATTTATAGCCTTGGAAACCCAACAGGCATTGCTATGAGTTGGAATCAACTTAATGACAGTGAGTTTGGTTTTGAGTTTGATGTGTCAATTTTACCTTATTAAAGCTGTAAGCAAAAGGAAAAATAGGAAGCTTAATTTATGACTGTTTGAACTGATACTTGCAGCCTTTGATCTGATGTGAGAAAGTGGAGCACCGAAAGGTAAACGTTTTGCAGGATAGCAGTGAAAACATCATTAGAGTGTTACAAGATCCATAAACTAAATATCATTTTTTAAAATGTTAGCAGGTTCTTTCACATTCTGTTTGTATTTACAATTCTCCCTTTAAAGGAAATTCTACAATTTGTGCTTACTTCTTAACAGAGCCAACAAATCCTTGTTTGATTTGGTTCACCTCTGAAACACTTAGAGGTAGCTTGAGTTCCAAAGTTCAGCACTTCCCACGTGTGTAAAGGAAATTAATTCCAAGGTCATCTTTGATAACATTTATGAACAGTGTCTGTGTGTGTTGTGGCTCTGTCAACTAGCTTACTCTGGTTAAGGTTCACCACATTGCTTGCATTACTAACACCATCCTGCAAGCATTGCCTTTGTCCCACAAACATTTAAGGAGTAGGTTAAACAGGGACTTAGAAGAACCAGTAGCAGCAATATCTGGCTACACCTACTTGTTCTCTTTATCTTGTGCTCCTGAGACACCTATGTACGCGGTGGAGACATCATAAATTCTTGTTGGCTGACACAGATGGACTTAATTGAAGTACACATTTTCCTAACCTGAAACAAAACAAAAAGAGAGTCAACATGTTACAGTACTTTGAGATCACTGGGTGGACACACTGTGTGTGATCTACCATCCTCAGGGACTTAAACTGCTCTTGAGAAAACATAGTTTATAAATTGAGACCTGGAAGGCACCTAGGGAGTGGTTAAGGGCTGCATTTATTGTTGAACTTTGGCACAACTTGCTCAGCTGACTGGTGGTGTTCTGAGAATAGTTAACTGGGTGGAGATGAGCATGTCTCAACAGAATAATTTAATATTATTTGCATGACATTTGATATTAATAACATTATAGTAATTAGGGATCACTATTTCTTGACTCAGAGAAATCATAAATTTTAAAAAGAGTTACTAAAACGTGTCATGTCAATAAATTCTTTAAAAACCTAAAATATCCAAATGACTCTAATTTTAAAAGTTTGAGTGTTGTTTAAATAGGGAATTGGAAATATGAGAAATAAGTTTGATAGTAATAGCTAACACAGTAAGATGGGTTTTTCTTGTTGTTTTGTTTCTATTTGGGAGATGGAGTTGAAGTGGATGATAGGGGAGAAAAGAGGTTATACGTGTTAGACTACTACTTTTCCACCAGAGTATGACTTTGATCATATTTTTAAACAGTTGCTGTTATGTATATGTGGATAATTAAACCAATTGTTTGGTTCTGCTATTGACTAAATAATTATGAAAGAAAATAGAACCATATTTTTTCCTGGTTTTCTTTTCCTAAGTCAAAGAATGAGTAGATCCAGGTGTATACTACTGGTCATAATCAAAAGAAGTTACCTTTTAACTTTCTTAAACTTTAGTGGCATCATTCAGTCCAGACTGATGACAAGGAACTGTGTATTAACTTACAGCAAAAACAAGTCGTTAAGCTATTTAAATTTCTTCAGACATTTTGAAGCCTTAAAAAAGTGTTGACTATATAATTTTTTTAATCCAGGCTTAAAAGTTGAACTCAGGTGGTGATTTATTAGATTTAAAGATGATTCTTTCTGTGGGTTAGAGAGCACTGAAAGAAAATGAGGAAATAGAAAAGCTAACATCCCACTCTGGGCTGTATCCCTAGCCGTAACTTAGCTATCATAGATCCTGAACAACATAATAGATAGAGGTCAGGAGGAGAATAACTGGTGCTAAGCCTGGTGAGTTTTACAAAATTATTTGATTTTTTTAGACATGACTAAATTGAGTGACCTTGTGATTGTATTATTTTCCAGATTAAACTTAAATTGAAAGAGGTACAAATTATTCATTTGAAGGATCATTACTGGGTATGGTCTGTTTCTTTTTTAATCAAATTGTTTAAATGTTTTAATTTTTTCTTTCAGGGCTCATGCCTGTTGCTCAACAGCCTGTTTATTGTGCTTCAAAGCATGGTATAATTGGATTCACACGCTCAGCTGCGGTGAGACTAAAACCACCACCACATCTGTCTTTCCATATGTATTTGAAACATGAATTCTACAAAGTAGAAGGAAACATATTCATAATTCAATACATCTGAATAAAAGATATAAAAATAATACTATACCCCAATTTTTATTAATATTATAAAAAAAAGTTTTCAGATCCCATAAAAGACCACATATACAGTAAATCATTTTAAAATAAAATATATTCTAAACAAAAATATGTTATTGAAAACCATCTTAAGGATATTATTATATTATTTTATGGACATACTCTTTATTTTAAAAATTGACTCCAAATTTAAAAATCATTAACTTTAGGCTTCTATAAATAGAACATGCAATATGCACCAGGTGTTACTTGCCACAATGAAAATGAGGGTAGATTATGGGGGCTAGAGAGAGGGATGGAGCTAAACATTTATTCCATTCCATAAAGTTGTGAAGGTTTGTATCTCTGTGCAGGCCTGGGATGAAAGGTATACAGAGCTTAGAAAAATATTGTAGATCTAGTCAACCAAGTGCATCAATAACATTAGGTGAAGATGCCTGCTTTTTTCTGGTCACTGAATTGCTTCAGTTTGAACTGAGCCTGCTGAGCAAGGGGAGAATAGCAAGAAATACAAGTGGAGATATAATTACAGGGCAGACCAAAAAGGGCTCAGGTTTGTGGTAATGGGCTTGAATATTGTTCTAAGTGCAATTTTCAATAGATTTTTTTTTAAGGATAAGAGTGACAAGTTCAGATTTCATTCTGGATGTTGTTTGGAGAATGTACTAGAGGACAAGTGTAGAATCGGAAAGAACAGTTGGGAGGCCTCTGCAGTGGTAAATTGAAGGGAGACAAAGGGGGTTCAGACAGATGAAAAAAAAGTATTACCAACCAAAGAAACACTAGGGGACAGATAATCAGACACGGAAATGTGAAATATTAAATAAAAAATGAAGATCAGAAACTCTCCTACTTTAAATTGATTGGAAATTTCTATTTACTTTTCATAGACAATTTTTGATTTAGCTTTTTGTGACCACATAAAGTTATTACAAGGCAAAATAAATCTTAAAAACCAGGAATTTGTCATTAAAAATATAAGACTGAAAAATTATATTTTATTTTATTTTATGAATAGTTCAAATAAAATTAATACATTTAAAATTAAACCAAGAAATGTTAGCCTGAAAACACTTGTTTTCCCAATAAAGCAGTGTTGGAGGTTATTAAGTGTCATACTGTTCAGAACAGATGAAAAGCCTACAAATTGCTACCAGCAGTATTTTTTAAGCAAATATTTTGTTATATAACCCCAAACTTTGAAAGAAAACATGGGATATTAATTCTAAGCCTCAGCTTCTTAGCTTAAGATTCCCACATAATTCACTTGATATTGTGCTGGACATTAGATAAGAGCAATTTAGATAATTAATTACTTTCAGGAGTAGCCCAATAATATTGATTTTTTAAAAAATTAATTAAGTGAGGCTTTTAGAAGTTAATTGGGCAGTGGGTTTTTTTTTGTTTGTTTGTTTGTTTGTTTTTTAAATTGTGATTTGGGTGAAAATTTACAGAGCAAATTCACTTTCCATACAACCTGTCTTTTGTTTGGCTGGAAGCCACAGATGTGGGTTCAATTCCAGACCTGAAGGTCAGCTAGGGCCATAGTCTCAGGGGTTCCACCAAGCTCTCTCAGACCAGCAAACCTGCTCCTCCCCACCCTTTTTTTTCCCCCAAAATGATTTTGAGTTTTCTTCCAGATTGTTCTGCCTTTCTATCCAGGATCTCCTACATAAATCCCCCTCGGAGTGGTTGACAGCAGTAGGTGGGCACCATCTAGTTCTTCTGGTCTCATAGTCATATAGGCTGCAGATCACATGGTGTACCACTCACTAGAACTAATTGTTTCCTTGAATCTTTGGTTTTCTTCATTCTTCTTGGCTCTGGACAAGGAGAGACCCATCATTGCATCTAGATGGCTGCTTGCAGACTTTTAAGATCCCAGTTGCTACTAACCAAAGTAGGAGGTGGAACAATGTTTTATGTAGTATATTATGTCCATTGAGCTTGATGTCCCCTGTGACTATGGTCCCGAGCCCACCAGTTCAACTACTCGGTCCCTCTGGGTAGTTGGCTGTGACCAAGAAGTGACTACAACCTTGTCCCTTGTCAGCTCTACTATACACCTGGGAATTCTTACAGATCATACAAATACACTTATAGGACCACTGTCTTCCAACCCTATACATGGTCTTGGGTACACTCCCCACTTCATAGACATACCTAATAGTTCAGTTTTTTAAGATATGTATTCTTACACTTTCTTTTTTGCTCTCCAGTCAACCCTGGCATTGGCATTGCCATATAGTTGGGAGGATATCTATGTCAGGGAGTTTTAAACAGCTTTAATTATCAGTTTGTCCTGTGCTCTACATTTACAAAACTGCTGAAACCTTCAACCTGTTGCTTCTAATTGGCAGATGGCTGCTAATCTCATGAACAGTGGCGTAAGAATGAATGCCATCTGCCCTGGCTTTGTTAATACACCCATCCTTGAGTCCATTGAAAAAGAAGAAAACATGGGACAATATATAGAATACACAGCTCATATTAAGGATATGATGAAATACTATGGAATTCTAGAGTAAGTAAAGCTATACTTGTTTTCCTTCATGTGATGGAGTAAAGTAATAATCTAGGCATAAATGAGAAAAAAGCAAAAAACAAAGCTTTTAAATTTGAGCTTCAACATTTTGGTTTGGCAGACACTTTGAAAGAAAACATTTTTATCTGAATTTCTAAACAGAATGTGTTTATGTATCATTAATTTTGCTTTGAAATATAGAGAATGCCTATTAATATCTTCAGCCATAATCAAATTGGAAAAACAGAGGGAGGCAACAGTAGTCTTCATACATTATCTAAGTGTCAATCAATATTCAAATATACTTTTGGGAAATATTATATGGACCCATAACTTCGATCATTTTCTTAACAAGACATTTAGTGTTGCAACACTTATGTGTGATAAACAGAATAGGACTTAGAGTAGTTAGAAGGCTCATAGTGCAGAGTCGTAGCTAACATGTAGAAGGAATCAGCTAATCTATGAATAAATCTGTCTCCAGTACTGGCCATGAACTTATTCCTTAAACTGTTGATGCCTCCATTTCTTCATATGTAAAATGAGGATAATATTAAAATTTAGAGATATTAGAAAGAATTATGTGATACGTGTAAAATACTGAAAACAGCAACTGATAAATAATAAAAATCAGATGCAGGAGCCCTAGTGGTGCAATGGTTAAAGCTCTGAGCTGCTAACTGAAAGGTCAGAAATTTGAACTCACCAGCCACTCCATAGGAGAAAGATGTGGCAGTCTACCTCTGTAAAGATTTAAAACATTGGAAACCCTATGGGGCAGTTCTACTTTGTCCTACTGTGTCACAAAGAGTCAAAACTGACTTCACAGCAGGGGTTTTATTGTTTCTTTTTTGGTAAATAATAGATACCTATGGAGCTCTGATGGCATAGTACCTAAGGCATTTGACTGCTAACCAGAAGGCTGGTGGTTCAAACTCAATAGCCACTCCTCAGAAGGAAGGTTGGGCAATCTACTTCCATAGTGATACTGCCTCGGAAACCAAAGGATGGGTCACTATGAGTCAGATACTTGATGGCAGTGGGAGTAAGTGTTAAAAAAGCCCTGTTGGCACAACAGGTAAACATTCGGCTGCTAACCAAAAGATTGGCAGTTCATCTAGATGCAACAGTGGGTTTCTCCTCATCTGGAGAAAATGAGAATGAAGTACATCAAGGACACATAGAAACAATTAGTCCAAGGGACTAGTAGACCATGCTGTCCTTAGTTTAGATGACCATGAGACAAGAAGAACTAGATGGTACCCACCAACAATCACTCACAAAGGGATCAGTGCAGGAGATCCTGGATAGAGTGGGAGAACAATGTGAAACAAAACTCAAAATCATAAATAGGACCAGATTTACTGGTCTGCTAGAGCCTGATGAGGCACCTGAGACTATAAGCCCTATTGCCCTTCAGAACTGGACCTGAACTCACACCTGTGGCTTCTAACCCCAAAATAGGCATATAAGGTGAACATTCACATCAGATAGATACACTCCTTAGAGTGATCAATCAGGGAAGAACTGAACTGTAGTGTATGTGCAAGGAGATAGCTGGGGGCAGGGACAGGAATTTAAAGGAAAGAAGGACACAGGGAAGAGGTAACTGCAGGGAGGAAGTGGGAAGAGAGCTGTTACACTGTGGGGAATTGCAGTCAATGTCATGAAACAAAATGTGTATGAACTGCCATATGGAAAATGAATTTGCTCTGTAAACTTTCACCCAAATTACAATAAAATTAAAAAAAGAAAAAAAAGGCTGGCAGTTCAAACACTCCCAGAAGCTCCATAGGAAAAAGATCTAGCAATCTGTTCCTGGAAATATTACAACATAGAAAACCTATGAGGCAGTTCTACTCTACTACATGAGATCACTATGAGTCAGAATCAACTCGATGGCTACCAACAACAAATGTTAGCCAAAATTTATAATATTTCAACTCTAATATTTCTATCCACTAAGTCTAAGATTTACTGATATGATAATAATGAATTATAAATATGATAATGTAAGTAATGAATATAAGTATGTTTCACCAAATGACAGATTAGACATGGAATCTACTACTAAAGTTATCATGTAATTTAGCTAATATCCAACTGAATAAAAATTGGAGGTAACAATAGCTTGATGACATGCATGTCTCTATTATGTGTTAATGATAATAGAGTCTTCAGAAAATAACTTAAAATGAAATAAAAATACGCCTCAGTCATAAGTTTCAAAGTATCAATGTTTCCTTTATTTTTTAGCCCATCAGTGATTGCCAATGGTTTAATAACTCTCATTGAAGATGATGCTTTAAATGGTGCTATTATGAAGATCACGATGTCTAAGGGAATTCATTTTCAAGACTATGAAACAACTCCATTTCATGGAAAAGCTCAGTGAACATCTTGTGTAGTGGATGCTACCTACCATGGCAAATGTTTAGTAATATTTTTTTTTTACTTACTTACTTACCGTCTTTTAGCTAAACATCTCAGCTCTTTAAACATTTCAGCATATTTGGGGCCACTTATTAGCTAATGAATAAATTTCAGAATGAATATTTCTGAAATGGAAAATCTAATGTATGAAAAAATGACAGAAAATGATTGGCTGAGAATGCTGATTCACAATTCAGCCTCCTACCTAGGAAAATACTTCTTTCTTCTTTGCCTATTTTAAAAACTTTGACTCTCACATCTCAGGAATGACACTTTTAACAGTCAAATAAAAAATATAGTTAGTAGCCCCAATTATTTTAAGATAAGCTCAATAAGAAACAACTACAAATGTTATGGTGATTTTTTTTTCTTTTTAAGATTGTTTGTACCAATTTCAAAGTGCCTTTTCAATTAAACTCTTTTATACTAATCTCTGAAAATCATCTAGTGTTCTATATATAGATGTTGAGGAGAATAAACCAGTTCATCACAAGCACAACTGTAAGTTTTTATATGCTAAGAGCCATAATAGCACAGAGGAAAAATAACTGTGATTTTTTTTCCCCTATTTACAGTCAGGTATTTTAATAAAAAACTCACTAAATATATCTATGTTGGGTAACACTGGCAAGCAGTAATTAATGCTAGTAGTAAAAGCACAAGATTTCCAAACCAATCATTTTTTTTAATGTATATATATATATAAAAGCATTTGACTGCTAACCAGAAGGTTGGTGGTTCAAACCCACCAACCACTCCACAGGAGAAAGACTAGGGAATCTACTTATATAAAGATTTACCACCTTGGAAATCCAAAGGGGGTTGCTGTGAGTCAGAATCAACTCAATGTTAGTGAGTTTGGTCATATATATCTATATCTATATATATATATATATATATATATATATCTATATCTATATCTATGAGTCAGGGCTGACTCGATGGCACATAACAACAACATAACAAATATATATATATATGAATCAATGCCTGCCTATTGGGTCCAGAGTTCCCAATTTGAAAGGAAATCCAAGCTGATGAGGACTTTATAGAAATACTGAAGTATTTTCACATCTTGCCCTATGTAATTCTGCCATAGACAACAATTGCTTTCATTTTTAAGGAGTAACTTGGAGGTGAATAACTGTTATCTAAAGATCTACATAATGTGTTTGACCAACACCAGAAATAAACATCAATAAATATCAATAAATAATTACAATAAATTGTAATTAGACACAAACTTGTTTATAATGTAAGACCAGTGACCAATTAGTGAATGATACAAGTATGTGCAGTATCACGTACATATTTTCCTGCTTAACATAAAGTCATATCTTAAACATTTTGTTTATGAATAAACTTTTTGTACTGCCAGCTTTCAATGTACATTGTGAATTGAATGAATTTCTTTTCAATGCAATAAATGATGTCAACATTTAAATTCAAATACAAATGTGAGTTATAAAGGTTAAAAACTTATTTTTATTAAAATGTTTCTTATAATGAACTAAATCTATAATTTATATGATGTCTTATATGCTGATTGAGAAATAGAAATATTACCTTTGGGAGAAACATGCCTTGGTTTCCTTAGCTGTATTTTTCAGTGAAAATCCTAATGAAACAGTATTTTTTCAAGTGGATTTTTTTTTTAATAAATGAAGGATTCCCAGGATAGCAAAAGTACAAAAATAATGGACACTCTCAAAAAAGATTGAAACTTGATACTAACATTTAAATGTCAGAAAAACAAAAGAAAAAAAACAATGTTTCCATGTAAAAATCATTTTAAATACGTGTAGTATCACTTAAGATATTACAAATAATTATATGATGATTTCTACTATTTTTGTTTTGTCAATAAATTTGGAATATTGGAGAGGGCTGAATATGCAGATTTTAAATAAAATTCAAATCTTTTCACATAACATTAGAAGAGTAATGTCTCTTTACAAAGACAGACAGTGAGAAAAAGACTGCCATTGTTGTTGTTGTTAAATGCTGTTGAGTGGGTTCGACTCACAGCCACCCTACATACAACAAAACAATACACTGCTTAGGCCTGCATCATCCTCATAATCATTTCTATGCTTGAGCCCATTGTTGAAGCCACTGTATCAACCCTTCTCTTTCAGAGTCTTTCTCTTTTTCGCTGATCCTCTACTTTACCAAACATGATATCCTTCTTCAGGGACTTCCCTCCTTATGGTGTTGTTGTTGTTATGTGCCGTCAAGTCGGACCTGACTCATAGAGACCCCTCCTTGGGTTTCCGAGGCAGTATCACTACAGAAGTAGATTGCCCAACCTGCCTTCCGAGGAGTGGCTGGTGGGTTTGAACCGCCTGCCTTCTGGTTAGCAGTCAAGTGCCTTAGGCACTACACTACCAGAGCTCCCTCCCTCCTTATAATGTGACCAAATTATGAGAGATGCAGTCTGTCCATTCTGGCTTCTAAGGAGAATTCCAGTTGTACTTCTTTCAAGACAGATTTGTTCGTGCTTCTTGAACACCATTGTGTAATCAATATTCTTCACCACTACCAGAATTTGAATGCATCAGTTCTTCTCTGGGCTTCTTTATTTAGTGCACAACTTCACATGCATAAGAGGTGATTGAAAGGCCATTCCTAACTTAGACACACCTTAGACTTCAAAGTGCTCTTTAGCACTTTAACAAGGTCTTTTGCAGCAGATTTGCCCAATCCAAAAAGTCATTTGACTCCTTGACTGCTGCTTCCATGAATGTTGATTGTGTATCCAAGAAAAATGAAATTCTTGGCAAATTCAATCTTTTATTCATTTATCATAATGTTACTTATTGGTCCAGTTGTGAAGATTTTTAGTTTCTTTGTGTTGAGATATAATCCACACTGAAGCCTATAGCCTTTGGTCTTCATCAGTAAGTGTTTTCAGCAAGCAAGCTTATGTCATTTGCATATCACATGTTGTTAATGTGTCTTCCTCCATTACGATGGATGATGCTGTGTTCTTTATATAGTCCAGTTCTCAGATTATTATCTTGACATGAAGACTGAATAAGTATGGTGGAAGGATACATCCCTTACACATACCTTTGGTGATTTTAAATCATACACAATCCTCTTGTTCTGTTTGAATGCTGCCTCATTTTCTATGTACCACATGAGCACAATTAAGTGTTCTGTGATTATCATTCTTTGTAGTATTATCTATAATTTATTATGATCCATACAGTCAAATGCCTTTCCATAGTCAATAAAACACATGTCAACATCTTTGTGGTATTCTTTGCTGTCAGCCAAGATACATCTGATATCAAACATGATATCCCGCATTCCACATCCCCTTCTGAATCCAGCTTGAATTTCTGTCAGTTCCCCGTCTATGCACTTTTGCAATGATTTTTAATTATCTTCAGCAAAATTTTACTTATTTGTGATATTAATTATTTTTGTCTGATAATTTCTTCATTCATTATGCCTTAATTCTTCGGATAGATTTGCAAAAACTATCATGGTCTCATTAACATGCCCAGATCCAAGTATTTCAAATTCTGTGTCACATTAGTAGGAAATGGCAGAAGAGAAAAGAACGAATAGAAAATACTAGCAGACAACTCATGCATATATTTTTGCACTCATTTTCAATACAAAATACATTTCTTATGGTGAATTACAGTGAAAGAGGTTTGAAAGCTACTTACTTTGATATTTATTGTAATCTTTACCTTTAAAATTCCTTGATTTTTGAATTTCTGACTATACCGTCATCTTACACTATACTCAAACTTCTTAGTACCACTTCTAATTCCTCTTATTTACTAGATAGAGTGGTTCCAACATAAAATTTGTTTTTCTATATGTAACTATGAAGGAAGGTTAGGCAATCTACTTCTGTAGTGATACTGTCTCAGAAAGCCAAGGAGGGGTCGCTATGAGTCAGATCTAACTCAAAGGGAGTGAGTTTGGTTTTATATGCAACTATAGCATCAATACAAGTAACATTATGCCCTGAATAATGCTTACCTGGTCTAAAACTTTCTTTAAACTTTTTTCCTTTGCTTTGGCAAAGTATTTCATTGTCAGCATATAAACCAGATGCTATCAAGTTGATTCTGACTCATGATAACCACGTATGTGTCAGAGTAGAACTGTACTTTGTGGGATTTTCAATGGCTGATTTTTTGGAAGAAAATAATGAGTGCTTTTTTTTCCAAGACAATTTTCAGTGCCCTGGAACTTCCAATCTTTCAGTTAGCAACCTAGCACATTAACCATTTGCACCACCCAAGCATTACTGTTAGCATATTGTTACGGTACATTTTTACAGAAGTTTCTGAAGTTAGCATTGAACCATGGAAATATCTTTTTTCTAGTTCACAAGTTTTCACCCATACGTTCATTTATTAAACAAATCATTAACTAGCAATTATTATGTAAATAATTTATGCATGTCTAAATATAGTGTAAGGAGCTCTGGTGGCATAGTGCATAAGACTGCTAACCAGAATCGAATCCACCAGCCACTCCACTGAAGGAAGATGGGCAATCTACTTCCGTAAAAATTTACTACCTCAGAAACACAAAGGAAGTCACTATGAGTCGGAATTGAATGGATGGCAGAGAGTTGTTTTGTTAATTTCATTGTGATTTGGGTGAAAGTTTACAAAGCAAATTTACTTCTATATAGCAGTTCACATACATTTTGTCTCATGACATTGACTGCAATCTTCCAATGCAATAGCTCTCCTCCCACTTCCTCCCCATAGTCACTTCTTCCCTGTGTCCTTCCCTCCCATGAACTACCGCCCCCCCCAACTTGTCTCCCTGTGCATCACAGCCCTTCTATTCTCCCATGATTGATCTCTTCAAGGAGTTTATCTACCTAGTGTAAGTGTTCAGCTTATATGCCTGTCTTTTGTGTGGCTGAAAGCCACAGGAGTGGGTTCAATTCCAGACCCCAAAACCAGCTAGAGACCATAGTCTCAGG